ACGGCTGCGACCCCGCACACCTTCCCGCTCCGTCGCGGCGGGGGGGCCCCGTCACTGAACCCCAGGGAGCTGCTGCTCCTGCCGAGCCCTAGCCGTGCGCCCGAGAGCTGGCCCAGCCCCTCTGGCTGCGAGGCAGGCGCCGGGTCCCCTGCATCCCTCCTGGGGCTCCAGGCCCCCGGGTGGTCATGGCTGCCCGGCCCAGGGGACTCGACCCCCCCAGCCGCCCGCTCAGAGCCTCGGGGCAGAAAGGATCTCCCAGGTGGCCTGCAAGGACAGCCACCGGACCGCCCCCTGGGTGGGCTCTGGGCTCCCGGCCAGCAGCCTCTCCTGCTTCCCGAAGGGAAGCTGTCCAGCTTCTTCGGGTGGCCCCGGAAGTGGCCGTGCAAACCGGGCGTCTCCCGGCGGCAGTGGGCAGCGCTCCCGGGTCCCCTCCTGCCTCGAGTGGTGGCCACGGCGGCCCAGCCTCGGTCTGCCCGCCCTCGCGGCTTCTCATCGTTCCATCCACGGGCTCCGACCCTGTCGTCCCACCTGGCCCCCGCCTGGGCAGCAGATCGGAGAGAGGCTTCAGCTGACCGAGACAGGGCTCATGTCCAGTGCACTGGGGAGGGCAGCCCGAGAAAACCCACTGCGGAGCTGGGGACGGTGCAGGAAAGGGCAGGGAGAGAGGAGCTGAGCTCAGCCTGAGGGCCCGCGGGGAGGGGGTGCCCATCTGGCTGGAGGCTGAGCCCGCAGGGAGGGGGTGCCCATCTGGCTGGAGGCTGAGCCGGGCAGCGGGTCTCAGGCCGGTGTTAGGTGCCGCGTGTCCACATGCGCGGCCAGGCAGCGCCCAAGGTCTGGGTCGGGGCGAGCTGCCGGCGCCTGGCCACGCGCCCGGCAGTGCCAGCGGACCCCTCACGTGCCCTCAGCTCTGGCCACTCAGCGGCCAGGCCGGGGCCCGCCGGAGGACCTGCTCGAGCCGCCAGCCTGCCCTGCTGGCCTCCCGGCCGCTGACCTCCTCACAGGCCCTCCCGCAGGGCTGGGGCGGTCAGCCTTGTGCCCTGGGAACTCACAGCCTCCCGCTGACCGCTGTCGGTGCTCAGTGACCTCAAGACAAGGCCCGAATTGCCAGGCGGAGCCCAAGGGGCATGAGGAGGACAGGCAGCCCCTCGATGGCTGTGGGAGCACCCCGTGTCTGCGCGCCGCGGCAGGGCCAGACGGCTCCACCTCCTCACGCCCTGAGGGCCGGCACCGCCCAGGGTCCTGGGACCCTGTCAGCTCCTCGGCCAGGGACAGCCTGTGACCCAGGGCACCCTGTGGGGGCCGAGGGACCCCGAGGTCAGCTCTGCAGAGACCCAGCGGAGGGGGCGCCTATGGGGGCGTCACGGGCACCCCAGCAGAGGCCCGAGGCAGGACCCCGAGGCGCAGGCCCCACCGCCCTGGGACGGCGTCGGGGTCGTCCGGCAGGAGCCGGGGTCGTCCGTGCGGGCCGGGGTCGTCCGGCAGGGGCCGGGCCGGGGTCTCTGGTCAGCGGCTCACAGCTGGTCCTGTCCCGCAGCAGACGGACGAGGCGGCCCAGACGGACAGCCAGCCGGCCCTCCCCCCCGGCCCCTCGGAGAAGCAGCAGCCCAAGCGGCTACACGTGTCCAACATCCCCTTCCGGTTCAGGGACCCCGACCTGCGGCAAATGTTCGGGGTGAGTGTGGGTCGCCCCGCCCCACCCAGCACCAGCCCACGTGCCAGAGCAGCTCTGGGTCCCCCTCTAGGGCCCCGGCCAGGGCCAGCCAGCGTGGTCCGAGTATGGGGGGACAGCTGGGGCCTGCGGGGGCTCCAGCCCGGACCCCCCAGCGGCACCAGCTGCCTCAGCCGCCCCCAGTGGCTCACCGCGGGTCAGGGCCTGTGCGCCTGGCGGCCTCTGCTGGCCCCTCTACGTGCCACCGGGACCCCGGCACCCCCAGGGGGCGCCGCAGGGGCACCCCACCTTGCCCGGGCAGTCCCGTCCCTCTGCCCCCGTGACGGCCTGGCCCGACCTTCCTGCCCACCCGTCCTCAGCTCTGCCCCCGCGGGCCCAGCCCCTGGCCACGCTCCCCTCTCTGCCCGTCCCCCGACGTCCGCTCATCTTGGGGAGCGGCCCCCACTGATGGGGGCCTAAGCCTAGTGGGGTCACCAGAAGCGAGGATTCGGCTCCTGTCACCTGGACCGGGGCAGCTGTCACACCTCGCACGGGGGCCCCAGAACAGGGCCCAGGGCCCCGTCTCGCGGGCGCCCCTCAGCACATGGCAGGGTCAGTGACTCGCCCGCCCACCCCGCGGCGCCCCTCCCCGAGGCTCCGGCTGAGGGGACCCAGCCACATGCGCTCCGGGAGCCTCG